ACTTTGAATTCTGGGTTGACGCTACCACGTTTTTCCCGGAGACTTTGATGGTCACTGCTGTGGTCTGGTTTGCCATTATCTTCTCTTTTTCAACCCATCTGGTTTTTGGGGGTTGACTCCCCGACCCGAGCTTCGCGACCGGTCGCAGCTGCGAAGTCGATGCTTCTCTGGTCGCCTTTTTGTTTCGCTGATGACACCTCTATTGGGTTCTCGTCATTGGGTTCTTTCCTTTATAGTTGGGGGACACCATATACCCCTTTGACTCAGCGCTCTTGTCAGAGGCCTTTTCCTCTATTTCCAAATCTAGCACGTTCCACTTTGGCCTTTTTCTCCCTTTCTGGGTTACAAGGGCCATCCATTTGTCTTGCGGGATATCCGATGGGGGCACAAAAGTCTTAGGCCTTGCCGACTGGAACAACTTTCAGTACTCTTGATTTCGTCGAGGAGTCCCGTCTTTGTCGAACACGAACCTTGGGACTAGTGGTCTGTCTGACTTGACTCTGTCCGTTGCATTCTGGTTGAATACAATATGACACCTGGGACAGAGGGAGGCTGTAGAGCCGCTGACTCTGTATTTTTCTTGGAATTCAGCTAAGCTTTCCCCAGCTTGAGGGTAGATACCCTCAAAATCCTCCTTTGTCTTCTTGTCGAAACCCTCAGTAGCCTCGATCATCATGCATTCTAGGATTAGGGTTGTCACCAGCTCCTTAAGGCCCTCAGTAGCCTCGACCATCATGCATTTTGCCATTTCGACCAATTCATGTTCAGGGACTTGTGTAAAGCATTGTGTTTTCAGTAGTCTAAACCTGTTCAGATATTGGTCTACAGACTCCGCTGCTTTTCGTTTTACGCTGGCTAACTCCTTTAGGCTGATCTTTGATTGTCCCATGTAAAGTTGTTCGTGGAACAATCTTTCTAACTGTGCCCACGTATGGACCAACTGTGGGGGTAACGAGTTGAACCATGTGAACGCGTTTTTGGTGAGGGAACCAGGAAAATATTTCATTTTCAAATCCTCGTTATTTGCTATGTCCCCAGCTTCGGTCTGATACCTAGCGACATGTTAGACGGTGGACTCCTCCGTTTCACCTGCAAACTTGGTGAACTTTGGCACTTTCTAGCCCTTTAGTAGCTCTGTTTGTAATACAAAATCCAGTAAAGGGGACGTGTAGGCGGACCGTCGAAGACTAGGGTTCGCACCGTTTCGAACCATAATGCGTTCGACCATGGCCTCTAGGTTGGCTTCGCCCCCGGGATTCTCGTTCCTAACTTGTCTGACTATGTGGTCTGGATCTTGGTCCCTACGAACCATCATAATGGGGGGCCTGTGGGTCACCCTGGGGATATGTTCATTCTCAGGCGCCTGTAGGTCGTTTCTTTCTTCTACAGGCTCATTTTTTCGAACAGGCGTGTCAGGATGATTAGGTGGGGTTTGTCCTCCTAAGACACTAGGGCCCCCTAAGAAGTCACCTATCCGGGTCATCTAAGTCGCCAATTATTGGTAACTCTGGGTCGGATCTTGTATTAATGATCTCAAAATGGTGCCCATTTGTTGGGTTAACATATGTACCATCTCGTGATTGCTTTCGTTCATTTGTTGTCACATGACCGCAACATAACTAGTGGTGAAAGCTGGTATTGCGATTGAAAGTGAACCAAAACCTGGCGACCTTCCCCCCTGTTGGGTCAGGGGCCCTAGGTTTCGATATGGCAAGAATGTTAACGAGGAATTCTCTCTCGTGCCTACCCCACCATAGCGCAACATAGACATAAACTCTAGCGGCATCCCTAAGTGTTGGGGTGCCGACATGATAAAACTGGACAAGTATTTCCCTTCGACTCCTGTCGTCACGGGTCTCTCCTCGGGTCGACTCAGAGTCGCGAATGGTCCACTGTAAGCGGTCGAAGTGACTATTGTCGTGGATCCGGTGCTCAGAGCTTTCCCTGATGATAAAATCAGATTCTCCTACGAAGACGTTTCTTCGTTGTGTCGCGGTGTTACCATCTTTCCACTACGTAACTGCATATACCCAAACCTACGAGTCCCACCAGGTGTGCCAATTTAGCATGTGTTTTTCGTGCGGACAACCTCTAACCTCCCTTTGCGGGTTTGCATGTGGGACCGACCAAACTAGTCCCAGGACGCTGGTATTGGGTGAATTGTTTACTTAGTCTTTACGGTGCACTTGACGGTTGTTTGGTTTAGGGAGTGTGTATGACGAAATCTATGCAAGTAAAGACAAAGATGTTCCTAATAAAACAAAGAAATGCTGGAAAAAAAAGGTAAAAACGTTGCTTTCAATAACATAAAGACTTGGTAAATTTAGCGTAGAAAAGACAAGTACAACTGAACCCATTCATACATTTTGTAATGAAAAGGGAACTCTTTTTCTCTTTAGTGTGTGGTACTCATAGTGTTTTTCTTTAAATGTTGACAAAAGACGTCTTTTTCTTCAACACCAGGCTTTGCTTTATATAGACACATAAAATAACCGTCAGGACGCTTCAGGAGCCGCCACGTGTCAGACCACAACTTTTGTAACTTCTCCCACGTTTCTCTTGTCAAATTGATTTCCTGCCAGGCACAAAAACTCCCTTGTCGGGGGTTCCTTTGTTGGTTTTTTGGTCGACAGACGCAAGTACCTGTCAACCACGCAATTCCCCCTGTAGTGTCGACTCAGGGTACGTCCCTTCCAGATTTGTCGTCGTCAATCCTTGGCTGCTAATATTGTCAGGATACTTCCCTCCACCCGAGGACATTGTCGGTCTGATGCCTATTTCTCCTACCTCCTATCGAGGTCGATGCTTTTATTGTCGATGCTTTCAGTTGGCTAATTTTCAGCCAACACGGACGTGAGGGGTGTTAATACTTTCCCTTTGCGTAATCGACTCCCGAACCCGAATTTGGTTGTGACGACCATTTTATTTTTTACCTTAAGGGTTTTGTCGATATTTTCCCTTTCCTTATTTGAAATAAATAAAGTTCGATGGCGACTCTGTTCGAATTATTTTTCTGCGACTTTGCAAAGCATCATATTTTTCAAGATGTGACACTTACCTCATTCTAATCTTGTATGCAAATTGCAAAGATATTTATAGGGTTGAAGTAAGTAAGCCTACAGTGGAATAATAAACTTATTGACACACTTATTTTCACTAGATACATTCAATCAAAGGCTGAATGTTCTCCTTTTACCAAGACTTCCTCTGTAGATTTCATAGTCATTCATGTCTATGTGGATGATTTAGTTCTAGGAGGCACTGATCTTGAAGAAATAAGGAAGCTCAAAGCACTCATGAATGCCAAGTTTAGTATCAAAGACCTAAGAGTTTTGAAATATTTTTTAGGATTTGAAGTTGCTCGAACTGCACATGGTATTTCCCTTTCCCAAAGGAAATATGCCTTAGACCTCATACATGATGCAAGCCTTATTAGTAAAAAAAAACCTACAATACACCCATACAACCTCACTTACAACTCCACAAGACATTTGGTACTCCTTTTTCTGATCCCACTGGATACCGAAAACTCATTGGAAGACTCTTATACCTGCCTCACTATAGACCCGAGATAGCTTATTCTTGATGTTGCAACTGACAAACATATGTCGGTTGGCCTACATGTGTTACACTACCTCAAAAATAATCTAGGTCAAAGATTACTCTTCAACTCATCTTCCACTTCATGTCTCAAGGGATTCTCTGATTCTGATTGGAGAGCATATCGAGACATGCGTAGATCCAATACAGACATTTGCTTCTTCCTTGGTAAATCTCTCATCAACTAGAAAAGCAAAAAACAAGTTGTTGTGTCCCGCTCATCTTCAGATGTTAAGTATGGAGCGTTGGCCTATGCTACTTGTGAAGCCATTTGGCTTCTCTCTTTACTCGATAACTTCAAAATTCCACATCACATTACAATCATTATCTATTATGACAACAAATTCACCCCACAGATAGCTATTAATCTGGTTTTCCATGAAAGAACCAAACACATGAAAATTGATTGCCATGTGGTACGAGACAAGGTGCTAGCTAAAGTTGTTCACCTCATCCTCGTCACATCCAAATAACAAGTTGTTAACATACTCATCAAATCATTCAAGCCAAGCTAGGAATGCTTGATATACATTCTAGCTTGAAGGGGGTGTTGAACATAATGGAGAAATTGATGTAACTAATTAGTTCACAAATAGCATAACTAAATCTTAACTAACTTTTAGTTAGTTATCAATTAGTTAGATTGATGTTCAAGTTGGTTATAAGTTACTTGTTATATAAGTAACCAAATTCACGTGTATGAAAGCATGATGATAAGTAATGAAAAATTCTGCGGCATATCTTTCTTCTTCATTCTCTTTTCTACATTTTCAAATGGTTAGCTTGATATTTAAAATTAAAGTTTGACCTAATTCAACCTTACAAAACCTGCTTGTAAGATGAGAGGTGTCACTTTATATATACCCTTTGAGGTTCTATCTTTAAACAATACGTGATTTGGGCTAATCCCAATACACTCTCTCACGTCTAACACTATTGGGCTTGGTGCGTGGGTATAAACTGTGGGTGGCCCGAATTAGTGATACTATGATAGAAATAAAATTTGACGTAACTCAACCTTATAAAACTTGACTCGTAAGGGAGATATATTATTATATATAAAAATTATTTGTAGATTATATCTTTAATCAATTTGGACTAGAATTTTTCCCAATGATTCTGTTTTTTCTAATTTATCCGATTAAGAACTGCTAATAATATTTTGACTTGATTGTGTGTGGATTCAAATTCGAAAATAACTAGTACCCAAAAAAGAAGGTATATTAAACATTTTACATTACTTCAAACATGATTCAAATACTTATTCAAAGTCTACACAATGATGATTCATGTACTTATTCAACTAATAATTTTACAACTTTAAACCAATTCATTCACACAAATAGTGCATGCATGAATGAGAATTACCATAAGCAAAAACACTATCTAACACTTTCCCTTTACACTCTAACAGGCTTCTCAAGAACAGCAGATAAAAAAACATGAGACTTACCACTCTCAACCTTCTCCCCCACAACCCATTTCAACTTCCTATATCCAAACCTCTCAATCAACCTAGTCAATCCAACTTTCTTCTCTTCTTTACCACAATACAAATTATCAATCCAAAACAAACCACCCGCCCGCAAAATCCGATCGATATCAAACATCAAAAACTCAAACTTCTCTTGCTTCTCACCAACATCACCACCAATGTTGCTCGAAGCACGAACCAAATCAAACACATTGTCGTAAAATGGAAACCTATGATCCAAACTCAAGTAAAGCGGAAAAAGTCCTCTCGCCGCTATAAACTCATTGAAAGGAGCATCAACATTAAGAGTACTAGTAATCACAGTAACATTCCTTTCGGCCATAACCGCCGCAAAAGTTCCCGAACCAATTCCGATATCAAAACCTATTCGAATTCCATCTTTTCCTAATTGCAAAACATCGTCAACAAGAAAATCATTCTTACTTCTAGACTTAACAAATCTTTGATTTTCATATCCATTAACCAAATCAAAGCAATGTACGCAATCTCTATTCAATTTTCTACCATTTAAACACTCGAAACTCTTGCAACTATAACCATTCCAATTCACAGTTTTGTTACTAACAGGCTTCCATAGTGAAACCGGAAAAGGATGAAGAAATTTTACCTTAGAAGAAACCGATTTCGCGAAACACCTTCTTCTTGGTAAAGGCTCACATCCTTTTAGGATCAGTTTCTGCGCTAAACTGAAGTCATCTTGACAATTGCCAAACACATTGTAATTCATATAACCAGACAACAAATCAGAAGATTTCTCGCATGAATGTCCAACCGATGAAACCATTTCAGTGAGTCCGGTTTTCGAATCTCGACCGAGAGGAAGTTTATGAGAGGTAAGAAACAGTTTAAGCTCTTTTGGAATATTGGGTTTTGAAAGATCGAAACTTTCGTAACCAAGGAGCTGTTTTTCTATCTGGGTAAGTTTCTTTTGAGAGTTATCGATTTCTCTGAGAATTAACGAAACTTGCTCTGAGATGAGGGAGAAGCTTCTGTGTGGCTGGTGATGTTGTTGTTCGGTTTGGATGAGGTTTGGTGAAGAAGTGAAAGCGTAAAGAGCGAAAAGGTTGGTGGTGATGACAGACAGGATCATGAGAATGTTAAGTGCTGAGGAACAGATTGTTGGTGTTTTGAATCTTGCTGTTCCATCGCCGATTTTCAAGGAAACAGAACCCATTGTTGTTGTTGTGAGAAAGAGATGAAGAAGAAGGATTGAGTTTGAGTGACAAAGATTGTTTCACGTGAGTTTTGTTGTGTATTAGATTGTGTTGTCTTGTTGTGTCACATTGAAATTTCGGAGTTATTCTGGTTTCAGAGTTCAGTGTCTGTAGCTGGATGTGTAATAAATTTAAATTGCTTTTTATAAATGCAAAGAAAGGTTTTTTGAAATTGATAAGACTTGGTTTTATGACAAAATTGAATATGCTTGTCAGGAGAGTTATTTCTTAGGGACACTATATTTTCTATTCTGAAAGTATATTAATGATTTAAGTAAATATATTTTTAATTCTTTTATAATTATTTTAAAAGAGGGTTGTTTGTTATTTAGACATTTTCATGACACTATATATGGACATCATGAAAATTACTATAAAGATGCGAGTGTATGGAACATTTTTTTTTTAAATAATGTCATTTTTTTTAAAATTAAAAAACAATAATATTTTCATATTAAATATAAAACTAATCATATTTCAAACAAAAAAAATTCGCCCAAAAGAGAAGTAGGAAGATGGTATAGCGCATGCACTAATTATTTAAACATAGGCACCATAAGGCATGTCGCATGCATGCATGTCATGCCAAAGCCTATGGCGCACTCATGCATCCTCTAAAAGCATGCGCCAATGAATATTGTGTTGTTTAGGTTTTTTTAATATATTGTATCTTATCCCCATCATTTTTCACCGATCTTTTAATCATTTCCTTCAATTTTTCTTCAAATGTCGTGTTATATTATCAAGAGAAATGACAATTTGATTTATTCAGCAGTGAAGTCTCCGGTGAAGATCCAACTTGGATATTGAGACTTTCGAGCATCTTCAGAGAAGTTTGATTTGTTGGTTAGATGGAGACATCGCTAACGGTGACAAGATCAAAAGAATTCAAATGCTTTGGACATAGGCACCATAGTTGTTGTGACAATGGAGAAAGACATTTCGGGGATTCAATTAAAACTGACACAGATTGTCGTATTATGATACATAATTGTGAGGAAGTTGTTCTGATGGTTGTAATCGCATATATATGTTGTTTACTGGTTGTATTTGCTTGTCTTGTTGTTTAGTTGTTGTTTAAATGTTGTTTAGTTGTTGTTTAAATTATTGTAACTGAATGTTGTGATCTTTATGAAATGAAATTTGTTTTCAAGATCAAATAAAATGATTACATAAAAATAATTACATGTAAAATGCAGGACTAAAAATGGGTTATTGAGTTATGTTGTTGAACTTGCTCCAACATTGGGACAATTTGTACGATTGTGTCAGGGCTGACGACATGAACTACATAATCTCACCAATTTGTTTGTTGTATCCATTTTGGTTCGAATACGTGTACTGTTAGGGCGATCCTTTTTCTTTCTACGGGTATTTTCATTGTGACAAACTATCTCACCTTGATATGCAGGTCAATAATCCTCCTTTGCTACCACCTGAAAGCTATTATTGTACACATTGCATACGTTTATGACTTTGTAAATGGAGGATAGTAAGTTGGAAGGGTCCTACCGAGCCTATGAACATGCTATTATGACATGCGAGCAAGGCATACAGAAGGCATGGAACTTTCCGCAACTGAATAAACATTTATCTAGTTCGACGTGATAATATCCCTATGGCTTCCCCTCATTGTGGTCCATTGTCTCATCTACACTGAACCAACCTTTATGACGATCAAACATTATGACCACATGTGTGTTAGCTTTGGAAGCTTCCTCCTTAATGAATTTCATTTAAGTTTCACCGAATAACTGCCCCGATTGTAACACTCAGCTCCATTTTGAACGTCTCATCTCAAACAATGACCATAACCTAAAATATATTGCTCTCACCAAAGCGCTAATCGGTAGGTTTCAGATGCCTTTGAAAACAAAGTTCATTGATTCCATGAGAATTATTTTCATATGGCCTATTTGTTAACCATTGTCAAAAAACCCTGGTCCAATTCTCCAATGGAATATTATTTATCTACTTGACTGCATCTGCATTTGTAAATCTGATATCTTCGTGGTAGTGTTTGAAGGAAGGTTCTGTTAATGCATACCCTGCGTTTACAACCTCCTTCCGAAGCGTCTTGCCTTTGATCTCCCGCATGAAATTTTGAGCAATGTGTTTAATGCAGTACACATGTGCAGAAGAAGGATTTTGCCAACCATTTTCAAGGTTTTTATAAGCACTCTCAATAGATGGATGTCTATCTAAAATCAAGCATAAGTTAGGTTGTGGAGCAACATGTAATCAGAGATTTTTGAGAATAAAATGTTAGACGAATGTGACTTATCCAGAGAGGGTGAATAGATCCCAAGTTAAAAAATTGCTTTATAAAATCTATTTTGAAGCTTTAACAGCTAGCATAAATGATCTGGATTGAATCGTCTAAACTGAACCACTATGAAAAGCTCGGATATGCGTATATGAAAACCAATAGATGATAATGATAAGCAAATCAATCAATATGCTTTAATCACAATCCCTTGAAAGCTTCTCAACAAGTAAAGTTATTTCCAATGATAACAAACACAAAAACTTAATAAAGACAAATTATCAAACACCTTATGTACAATCAATTTTGTTTATAATTATGTATAGTTTTGTTAATTTGCAAATTGAACCATAATCAAATAGATTGTGATCAACTCAACAAAACCTTTTTCAAAGGTTATCAAAAGATTTAACCAAATGTATTGATCGCAGAATCAAAGAATTCAACAATTTACAACTGAAAAATAAAAGCGATAGAGAGAAAGAGAGGGCACACAAGGATTTGCTTAGGCAGTTTCCCAATCGGCCTTGCTATGGGTACGTCTGCCCTCTATTCGAACTTGAATTGAGATAGTGAAAATTAACCTTACTTTGCAAATGTAGTTAATGCAACCCTACAAACCATATGTTTGATGTTGATTCTAACACTTTCTCTTCCCTTGATCTGAGCTTTATAAAGTCACCCAATAATACCAATTTGATTCACCATCACACGATACTCCTTTGCAATAACCCTTGTTCTTTAAAGCCTTCACTCGATCAAATCTAAATTATGAATTGTTGTAACCCAAGATTTATCAATTTGATTCACCGTTTCACGCTACTCATTTGCAAGAAATCCTTGTTCTTCAAAGCTTTTACTCGATCAAATCCAAATTGTGTAATATTGTACAAAACCTACAAATCCCCAATTGATCTTGAAAGAAAACCCCGCCTTGGTTTTCTTATTTGAATCTCTCAAAAACCTCAACCCAATTTACAATTCACTAACCTAAATTGGATGTTATCAACTCTAAATATAAATGAAACCCAAACAATGAATTATTATGTGTACTTTGTTTGTGTATGTGCATAGAATGAAGGTTAAAGATGATAAGCACTCTTTGAAACTCGGTTTCGTTTGTGAATTTCTCAAAATCACTAAAAGAAAATGATGCATGTATGAAGCATATATATGTGACAAAGTAAAAAGCAAAAGGAATGCAAGAGATTTAGAAAATGATGCAAATTTTCAAGAATTTTAATGCATGTGTCGACCTATGTGATTCATTTTTCGACCTATTCGAAGTATGTACCGACCTGTATAGGCCATGTGTCGACCTATACAGTCAGCACATCAAACAGAGCCTACATGCTTTAAAAATGAGTTTTATAGGTCAACCTATAACTCATATGTGTCGACTTGAAGCACTTATGTGTCAACCTGAAACACTTATGTGTCGACCTATAGATTGTTTTTCACATAAAAACCAGTTCTTGATTTATGAAACCTTTTCTAGACCTTTTCTAACATGTTGTTATGCTTCCTAATTCTAAGATGCACATTTAGACTCATAGGATACCGTCCAATATACATAAATTCTAAATTGTCATAGTTTTGACACCAGTCAAAACAATTCTAATAGAAAGTTTCACTCACATACTCCCCCTTTTTGATGATGGAAAGACTGGCGACGATGCATTCAATATCTTCATGAAGGCTCCCTCTGATTGTTTGCATCATAGCTTCTTAGCTTGCATATGCTTCTCCCTCTTTGGAAACATAAAAAAAAAATACAAAGCAAGCCATTAGAAGTACCACATAGATACAATGAATCACATATATCTTAAACCACACAGAGGCGTTTGCAAAGAAAGAGTGTGCACTCACGTACACTACATACATAAAATAACACAATTTGAAGTTATCGCAACATTAATAGAAAGACAATATAAATAACATTGAAAAATATTTCATCCAAAAGCCAATACATTAACATAACGAAAGTCACACTTGAAATAGGTGATAATATTTTTAATACATAAACTTGAAGCCAAAATAAACCAAAAGAAAAACATAAAATGCATGATGACTCAAACTATGAAATGCATGGCAGAAAATTTCCACACGATGTTTGACACAAACGACATAAAGAATCAACATTTCAACGTCTTCCACGACCTCTAAGAATTGGCCTCAATCCATGATACCAACGTTGTCCATCATTTCCAAACTGATAATCCAAGAAATCACACATCTCTTGGAAGAATTGTGCATAATGGTGGTGATTCTCACTTTGAGCAGCAATCATGTGATTTATCCTAGAAATTGTGGAAGCATGATTAGCATCCATCTCACTCCGTACAAAGAAAAGACTTTTGATGTTAATTAAATCAAAAGAAAGTATTGAATATCGTATCAACAGAGACCGGTGCGATATTACCAATGTTAAGACAATTGTTATCGTTTCTAAGTGAAGTTTGTAAATTGGTTTTGCTTTTAAAGTAACAGAATATAAAATTAAAACTTGTAAAGTAAAGTCCTAAGGATAGAAAGCTTGTCAGGATTGAAATTCCACTACTGTGCACATATGATTTAGGTTGATACTTCTTTAAAGAAACTTGTTTTTCATTTTTATCTTCATTAATTCGCTCACAACAACATGCATGTCTATATGCTTGTTGAGATTTCAATTGATTTAGTTTAATCGATGAT